CCAGAGCATCGCCCAGGGACTCCGTGACAGCCATGTTTTACATAAAAAAGCAAAAAGCTGTGCACTCTTCCTCACTAAGCCTGGAAGCGGTCTCCTTGTGGCTGTTCTGCATCAAGCAGGACATCTCACTAGAAGCTTCCTACCTTCCTGGAGCTCAGAACCAGCTAGCAGATCGCCTCAGCAGGTCTCTCTCTTCTCACCACAAGTGGTTTGTCCATCCAGACATTGTGAGGGTGTCTTCCGACGGTGAGGGCCCTCCGTTTGCCACTCAATCCAACCGGAAATGCCATCAGTTCTGCTCCCTCAGGGGCCATGGACGGGGGTCTCTTGGAGATGTGTTTGTTACCATGGACGCAGCACTTCTGCCAATTCCACTCATTCACAAGATTCTGATGAAGATCAAACAGGATTGAGCTCAAGTCATCCTCACAGCTCCGGCATGGCCCATTAAGCACTGATTCTCCTCTCTCTTGGCCATGTTGGTGAAGGCACCTCTACGTCTCCTGTTGCACACGGACTTAATATCCAGGGATCACAGGTGAATGCTTCATCCAAACCTCATATCATTACATCTCATGGTCTGGAAGCTCCATGGCTAAATCCAGAGGAGCAGACCTGTTCGGAGCAAGTCCAAGAAGTCCTGATGTGCAGTTGAAAGCCATTGACCAGAGCTACTTACCTAGAAAAATGGAAGAGGTTTTCCATCTGGTGCTCACAAGTTCCACCCCTGCAGTTCTTCCTGCAACTCATCCTAGACTTTCTGCTTCCATTGAGGTAGGACGGACTGGCCCTCTCCTGAGTTAGGGTCCATCTGGCCGACATTTTGGCCTTTTATCCCAAGGTTGACAACTGTTTGATCTTTTCTCATGATATGGTGGTCAGGTTCCTCAATGGAGAGGGTGTACCCCCCAGATCAGAGACCCCACCACTTTATGGAATCCTGGTTCTTTCAAAGCTTACGGATCCCCCCTTTGAACCATTGGCAACATGCTTGCTACTACACCTCTCATGGAAAGTTTCCTCCTTCGGGGCCATCCCCCCAGCCAGATGGGTTTCAGAGATTAAGTTCTCACCTCAAAGCTCCCATATACGCTCTTCTTCAAAGACAAGCTCTATCTGCTCCTGCACCTGTCATTCTTCCCAAAAGTGGTGTCTCAGTTCCATTGCAATCAAGCAATTTTTCTGCTGGTATTCTACCCTAAACCGCATACCAGAGAGGAATAACTACTCCACTCACTGGACGTCTGGCACGCCCTGGCATTCTACGTACAAAGGAACAATCCATTCTGCAGATCCTCCCAGCTATTTCTAGCAATAGCGGACAGAATGAGAAGCCTCCCTATTTCAGCACAAAGACGCTCATTGTGGATCACGTCATGTATCAAGATATACATGTCATGTATCAAGATATACACGTCAAGATATACACGTCATGTATCAAGATATGCTGAAGGAACTGGCGGCTGTGATTGCAGAGCCATTGGCCATTATCTTTGAAAACTCGTGGCGAACCGGGGAAGTCCCGGATGACTGGAAAAAGGCTAATGTAGTGCCAATCTTTAAAAAAGGGAAGAAGGAGGATCCTGGGAACTACAGGCCAGTCAGCCTCACTTCAGTCCCTGGAAAAATCATGGAGCAGGTCCTCAAAGAATCAATCCTGAAGCACTTGCATGAGAGGAAAGTGATCAGGAACAGCCAGCATGGATTCACCAAGGGAAGGTCATGCCTGACTAATCTAATCGCCTTCTATGATGAGATTACTGGTTCTGTGGATGAAGGGAAAGCAGTGGATGTATTGTTTCTTGACTTTAGCAAAGCTTTTGACACGGTCTCCCACAGTCTTCTTGTCAGCAAGTTAAGGAAGTATGGGCTGGATGAATGCACTACAAGGTGGGTAGAAAGCTGGCTAGATTGTCGGGCTCAACGGGTAGTTATCAATGGCTCCATGTCTAGTTGGCAGCCGGTATCAAGTGGAGTGCCCCAAGGGTCGGTCCTGGGGCCGGTTTTGTTCAATATCTTCATAAATGATCTGGAGGATGGTGTGGATTGCACTCTCAGCAAATTTGCGGATGATACTAAACTGGGAGGAGTGGTAGATACGCTGGAGGGGAGGGATAGGATACAGAAGGACCTAGACAAATTGGAGGATTGGGCCAAAAGAAATCTGATGAGGTTCAATAAGGATAAGTGCAGGGTCCTGCACTTAGGACGGAAGAACCCAATGCACAGCTACAGACTAGGGACCGAATGGCTAGGCAGCAGTTCTGCGGAAAAGGACCTAGGGGTGACAGTGGACGAGAAGCTGGATATGAGTCAGCAGTGTGCCCTTGTTGCCAAGAAGGCCAATGGCATTTTGGGATGTATAAGTAGGGGCATAGCGAGCAGACCGAGGGACGTGATCGTTCCCCTCTATTCGACATTGGTGAGGCCTCATCTGGACTACTGTGTCCAGTTTTGGGCCCCACACTTCAAGAAGGATGTGGATAAATTGGAGAGAGTCCAGCGAAGGGCAACAAAAATGATTAGGGGTCTGGAACACATGAGTTATGAGGAGAGGCTGAGGGAGCTGGGATTGTTTAGCCTGCAGAAGAGAAGAATGAGGGGGGATTTGATAGCTGCTTTCAACTACCTGAAAGGGGGTTCCAAAGAGGATGGCTCTAGACTGTTCTCAATGGTAGCAGATGACAGAACGAGGAGTAATGGTCTCAAGCTGCAGTGGGGGAGGTTTAGATTGGATATTAGGAAAAACTTTTTCACTAAGAGGGTGGTGAAACACTGGAATGCGTTACCTAGGGAGGTGGTAGAATCTCCTTCCTTAGAGGTTTTTAAGGTCAGGCTTGACAAAGCCCTGGCTGGGATGATTTAACTGGGAATTGGTCCTGCTTCGAGCAGGGGGTTGGACTAGATGACCTTCTGGGGTCCCTTCCAACCCTTACATTCTATGATTCTATATGCTACACCCTCATGAACATTCCACTCCCGGCTAATCTGACGGCTCATTCTACAAGGTCCCAAGCCTCCTCTGCTGTCTTTTTGGTGCAGGTACCAATTCAGGACATATGCAGGGCAGCAACCTGGTGATCGGTCCATACGTTCATCATGCACTGTACCATTACACAGAAGGCCAGAGAGTCACATCTCCATGCGTTGGAATGGAGATGTGCAAGCACTCAAGAAAAAACAGTTACTAACCTTCCTATAACTTTGAGATGTGTTGCACACATCCATTCCAAAACCCACCCTCTTTGGAGGTGGTCAGTAAGAAGAAACCGAAGGAGAACAGCGTCTGCAGGCCCTTATACCGGTGTCATGAGCGTGCGATGCCAGAGAATGCTAGAGCCAACCCAATGGACCCCACTCAGGGAAAAGATTCTGTCAACTTTGCTCGGGGTGCACAAATACCTGCATTGGAATGGACATGTGCAACACATCTCAAACAACAACTGTTACATAAAGGATAGTAACCATTTTGTCTGTGAGTACCATAAAAGACTTGTCAGTGCCTGGGCATGCTAGAACTGAGTCTGTGCTCAGGGCTTCTTTCAGTTCACAAAAGCCCTGTTGGTGCTGTTTGGACCAGACAACCTTGTCTGGCTTCCCCTGCTTACACAGATCAGTGACAGGAGCAGTCAGAATACTAAAATGCAGGATGAACCATCACTAATATCCTGCCATCCAATAAAGGATTATGCCTGTTTTCTTGTCTGGGGCAGGGGCCAATTCTTAGCCTCTGCTTTGACAGGGTCCGGTTTTATGCAGCCGCCTCCCCAATCTATGGCTGAGAGCCTACTTCTGCCATCCCCACCTTGCATTTCTCTTTTACAGTCAGGCCTGCTGTCAGAGTGTTGTGAAGCACCCGCCTTATGTGGGTCATGGGCTTGTTACAGATCTGACTGAAAGTACAAATATGCATATATGACATGGCAAATCCCCCCAGTCCATCAACTAACTGATCTACCAGCCTCTGGCAGGAAGCTAGGGCCCCCTTGAAGCCAAAAAGACAAGGAACAGGTACATGCCCATGGTACAAATGGGTGGTATATGCCAATTTGAGCCTGGCATCCAAGTCCAAAGGCATCTGCCACTAACTGTTAATGAGGTCAACTGTGGTCAGGAATTGGGGCCCCTCCCAGCTTGTCCATTCTAGGCATAGGGTACACATCAGACACTGTGATAATATTTAGCTTTCTGTACTCCACATACAATCCAATGTACCCTTCCTTCTTAGGCCTTAGAACAACACGGGAGGCCTCTGGATTATTTGATCATTAGAATCACCCCCAACTCCTGCATGTCAGTGACTCCTTTCTCCAGGCTCTGGGCTGCTCTCCCAGTAACCCTGAAGGGTGAACTTTTTATTGGGGCCAGGGTTCCACCTTGTAGACAGCAAGTGCGGTCTGGCCACACTTACTCAAAAAAGCCTGTAGCCCCCCTCTGATCTCTGCTTCCTGTGTGGGGGTTCAGTGAGCAGAGAGGCCTGTGGAGGGCAGGCTCCTGTTTCTGCTCACAGATCTATTAGGGGATTCTCTCCCTCCACCACACCTGCGCACGGCCAGAGTCTCAATCATAATAGGGTTTCATCATGTTCACATGATACACTTGGTGCTAGGGGGAGCAATTAGCTCCACCAACACTAGTGAGAGACCCCTGACTGTAGTGAACTTACTCCAGTTTACACTGAGATGAGATTTATAAAACGTGCCAAACTCGCCCATGATATAAATCCATTGAGTTCATCTATGATACCGTGGGGGTGAAGCTAGACCATATGCAGTACAGTAACTAAAATATGCAAATTATTTTTCATTGTACCTACCTACACTCTGCAGCATATAATACGTTTTAAAATGCTTTGGATATTTTAGAAGAAATCCGAAGCAGCAGCAAACATTGTTTTATTTGAGGGAGGGTGGGTGTAATGTGGAAGATGGTCACACTTATTTGCTGTAGTGCTCTGGTTCTAGGGGAATGGAGCCAGGAAAAAGTAAAACATTCCTTAATCTCAGCCAAGCACCATTTTATTGTCTGAGTGAAAAGGTAACGCAGGTGGAGAGTCACACTCCCAGCAGTTAGCTGAACAGAAAACACAACCCTTTAATCAGATTTGTGCGGAAAGCATTCAGTGAGGAACAGTAGCTGCCTAGTGTCACAAAGGAAAGAGGTTTGCAAGGGTAGCACATGCTGACCCGACAAGGAATATAGACTGCAGGTGCCAGGGCGGATGCACATTGTTAGGTCTTCCCATGCCACTTGAAAAATAAAGCAAGTCTCTGACCACCTACAAACACAGTTTAGGACACCTAAGTTGTGTATCTTTGCAGGAGCCTGATAAGCTTTTCAGGGGAAAAGGCTGAAAGCCACTGATCACCAGCCATTAACTTGTCAGCAGAAACAGCCCCACGGCTGGTCTACTGCCACAGCTCCACCAGTGGGAGTGCTAGAAGAGACACGGGGCTGACAGGCCAGCAGCATTGTATCCACCATTCTTTCTGGAGCTGCTCTGAGCAGAGTTAGGCAACACTGGGGTAGAGGATCAGCACCCAGTGTATTCCGGAACACCCAGGGGTGCTAGCACTTGGAGCAACTGTAGGAAATTTTAAGAAAAAAAGTCCTAGGACAGACAAACCCCATGAGACTTTTTTCAACCCGCACAACAGCCTCCCACACAGTCCCGAGACAACAACTGATCTTCAGCTTACCAGCATCAAGGCTTATGGTGATGTTAAAATGCAGAATGTTTCTAGTGCTGCTTAGTATAACCTAGACGGGACAAGGGCACTTCGCCAGGACAGGGGCCCTCTTGTGTGAAACAGGATCAGAACGAGCCCATAGGCAATTGCTCCAGTTATCACCTTTTCCAGCCTGTTTCTTAGCCCTACATTCCCTGGGGCTTTACTTCTCAGTCTTGCGGCAATAAATGTGACCTGCTCTCAGCTCAGGCACAAACCCTTGCCTTCACCCCCACTGAGGAGGAAATCACAGACTCTTCACTGTCCAAGAAAAGGCCATTTGCTCAGGCTAGTCAAACAATACACACCCACCTGATAGCAGCTCATCCTCAGTATCAAAGGCCCCAGGACATGCCTTGGAAATGGGGCTTTGCTTACGCTCACCCCCAGCAGCGCGACTTTCCTGCGGGTCCTGGGGCAAGAAGAGGAGGCAGAAGTTTAAGCTCCTCCAACAGCTTCCCCCTGTATTTCAGTGGTCAAAAGTAAAATATGACATTTTAAAGCCTAATGCAGCCACTTCACAGTTCTTTGGTACAGACATTGGCCACCACAAGCACATGGTACATTTTGCATTTCAGTGTTTGCAGTTTTTGTTTTTTTGCTGTGTAAACAAAAGGGAAAATGCTTCCAAGACCCACGTGCCAGCCACCTGCCCAGAGTTTCTGTTTTCTTTAAAACACCCCCTATGCATAATTTATTCTATCCTTTGAAGGAGTCCAAAAGGAAAAATCCCAGCTATCGCTTCCGCTCGCCCTTCTGTGTCCTCTTCTTCTCCTTCTCCTTCCGCTCCTGCTTGGCTAGCTTGTCCTTCTCTCGCTGGTGTTTGTCTTGCTCCTTTTTCTTCTGGGACTCGTCCCGCAGAGAATCTCTCTCCAGCTTCCTCGCGTTTAAGACACCCTCCACATTTGTGTTACGGAACAGCGCTGGTTTCAAGGTAAGGAGGATGAAGGACATGCTTTGGCTGGGCTCATGTAGGTCCCTGGGCTCTCTCCCCATAGGTGTATATAAACTGGTGTGTAGAAGTCAGTGCATGCAGGCTGTAATGGGGGCTGCCTTATTCCAGACCCACCCCTCACACTTTCCAGTAGCACCTAATATTGCAGCTTTCCTTTACCATGTCCACACTGCACTCTCTCCATGTCTGCTTTGCAGTGGACCCCAGTAAAAAGCAGAAATTTAAAGGTGGCTTCTCCATCCAGGTGCTACATGCAGCTAAGCTGTGCTCCACTGCTGTGGGCCTAGGAAAGCAGCATGTATGGAAGCTGCTCTTCAGAGATTCTCTCACTTCACAGTCTGCCAAATGCTAGCCCAGTGCACCCCCAGAGCCCCTTGGCCACTCGCAGAGGGCTGCCATAAGGGCCAGGGAAGAGATTCTCCCTCAGATTGCTGAGCAGTGGTTTTTCACAGCTGTGACCATGAACAGCCTTCCTGGCTCCTGCACTAGTTTCATGGGGTGAGGGGACTAGCCAGCAGTTCCACCAGCCCCACTCCTGGCCCCCCCCCAAACCCCTGTGTGCTAGGGTGTGGTGATGCTATGGACAGCGACTTTTTATGCCCCCTGCTCAGGGCCCCAGAATCTCTCCTGCCTTGCTGAACCACATCCATGGCACTGCCATCAGGGGCTACTGCTTTGCTGTGGCCGGGGTGAAGAGGATTTGCCTCCCTAAGCCCTGGCGGCTCCCATCTAGCGGCACATGGAACCTGGCTGCCCACGCTGCTCAGACTTGTCATGCCCCATTCACCTGATCAGAACTCTGCTCCGCTGAGTAACCAGCACTCACATACTAGTAGCCATGGCTTCTGCTACAGGTGATGTGCAAAGGGAGGGAATGGATTTGTGCCCTTGGCTTTTGCTTCTTTATGACGTAAGCCTGAAAATTTGGGGCAGAGGGCAGAGCAAGGGAGGTGCTGCTTGGTTTTTACATTAGAACAATCTGGTTACACCCCTCTTTTTCTGGAAGAGCATGTGTTGCTTTGAGATACTAAGAGCTGGACTGCCCAGGGTCTGTACCCTTAACAGTACATCTTAAAAACTGAGATGGTGACAGGTGGCCAGGACCTGTGGCAGCTGATGGGATTTTTATGTACTGTCTGTTAACGTTAGGGCAAAGCCTTGGAAAAGCAGCATTTTAATTATTTTAAAATCTAAATAAATAGGTAAAGTGGTACGACCCCCTTCCGTGGGCATAGTGATAGCCATATAGAGGTCTCATCCTGGCCTAGCGTACAACTGTGACTAACCATATAACTTTACCCACGCCAGCAGCTTTGTACCACTAACCAGGTTGTTTCTAAACACATCGAAAGATAGCAGTACAAAGCATTGTGCAGAGTTGTACAAGCACCTCCCAACAGGGGCAGATCCTCAGCTGGGGTAAATCAGCTCCACTGACTTCAAAGGAGCTCGGATGATTTGCATCAGTTGTGAGCCTGCCCCAGGCGTGGCTTGGGCTCTCTCCTTGTGTAACTGAAGTGGGGAGCTGAATCTGTCAAGGAGTGCCCCTCCATCCCCGTGAGTGCTGGATGCTTAAGTGAAATGTGGTTACTAAGAGGGTAATGATCTGAAGAAGTCATTCCTCTTGGGTATGCAGGGAAGAGCTGCATTTCCAAGGTAACAAAACCCAACAGTGGGCGAATGGTAACTTTCAGATTTTTATACATCAGGAAGCAGGTGAGGGCACCGATGCTGTGTTGTTCCATGGCAAGTCACCTTTAAACTCACTTCCCTTTGTATCTTACACAGTGCAAAGGCCTATGTTATTTCACCTCGCCAGCTAGAACATGAGTCCCAGCACATGGTGTGATTTACAGCCATGGCTATGCAGAGCCGAGAGCAGGATACTTTTAACTTCTTAACACATGAGTTTTGAGCAGCAGTTGCCCCTTGATAACTTGATTAATTGGCTCTCTAACTGTAAACACAGCTAGGTGGAGTTTGACATTGTGGATGTGGAGGGCAGAACTAGAATTCCAGCTGTCCCACTGGTTATGGAGGAGTCACACCAATTGCTTCTGTCCTCTCTGAAAACCCCACCCTAAGTTTTTTGAGAGTGTTTAGTATTGGCCCAACTCTGCCCCCACTGAAATCAGCAGATTTACCTTGGACTTCATGGGAGCAAAGTCAGGCTGACACAGGGTACTTCTGGAAACACCACGCTTCAAGTTTAACAAGCCAAACCCAGCAGCTAGTGCCAGCTCAGAGACAGGACAAAGGGAAATTCAATGCAGAACTTACAGTTCTTCCAGAAAAGCCCCTGTGGCTAGCGAGCTGGGATTTTAAAAGGATACATTTTTCTGATCCAATCGTTAGTGCTGCTGCAGTGGATCCATCCTGTTCATCTGCTCCAGTGAGAGAACTAAGGAAACTTGGAGACTATCAATGAAACTTTGCACCTCGAGTCTCTCCTTTGTCCCAGGATCTCAAAACACATGTGACATTCATTCTTTCAACAAAACTGGTGAGGTGCCAGAGGCTGGGGCACAGACTGATCAAGGGACTTGCTCAGTGTCTCGTAGAGCGAGGAATGGAACCCAGGAGTCCGAACTCCTTTTCCTCAGCTCTAACGCCACGCAAGAGTCCCTTTATTTTAATACACCCAGCTCTCCACAGGAAAGCCTGCCCTCCGCCCACACGAAGAGCCCCACCTATTCACTCCTGGCAGAGGAGCCGCTTGACAGTCTTCTGCAGAAAGCGAAGGCTGCATACGACACATTAGCTGAGCAGACTGCTGTGACCAGCCCATTCTATTCCTGGAAATGGCTTCCATGAACAGATCTCACACGCTATTGCAGGCAGCGGCCCAGCCCATATTGTTGCTGGGGTCTGGGGTGGAGGTGGTGGATGCCAAAGTCAGTGCACAGCGGGGGGCAGGAAGTCTCTCCCCACTGCTACCCAAACCTGCATTGCACAATTAGCTAGGCACATTAGAGCCCTTTTTACACCCTCCTCCAAAACCTCAGGGAGTAGCTGCTGCCAGAGGCAAGGAATCAAGTTCAACGGACCAATGATCTGCTCTGCTTTGATCTAGCAGGACGTAGGATGTTACTATTAGGAAAACTAGTGACAGAAAATGAAACAGTTTCCCATAGCAACAGTTCCCTGCCTTTGATTTGCTTCCCCGGCTCATTCAGACTGTGCTGCACAGAACACTGAGCGATACAACTCCTGCCAAACCAGTTACATCAGAATAGAAGGGGGCTTGAGTGGTTCTAGGTCACTAACTAAAATCCAAAGGGGCAAGAAAGCCACGGGAGGCAGATTTAAACTTTCGCCCTCAAAAGCAGCCTGGGAAGGTGGCCAGCACATTCGCAACATGGGACTTGTGGCAGGGAAAGGATATTCCTCCTCGTCTGTTACATTGGCATACTGGGCCAGGAGGGCAGCTTTCCTCAGCTTCTCGTCCTGGGAAACCTTCTTTGGCTTCACGACGATCTGGGCCTGCTTTTCGATCATGCTGGCAATTGCCTGGATCTCATCTGGGAAGGAGAGAAATCAGGGCATTAATGAGTGCTTCCACTACTGCCAGCAGCTGGCGTCCGACATAGCCAGATAGAGGCCGTGTGCCTTTTCTCAACAGGCGATGGCTGGCGTGTCTGTCTGCAAAGCCTTTCAGTCACAATGCTTCACACACATAGCACAACTGAAATGCAGCCAACTCTGGGGAGGAGCACAATAGTCAACCAGCACACGGGGGGGGGGGGGGGTTGGCCAATGAAATCCCTCCTCTTACAGAAATTGCCATGGGATCTTCAGTGTTCCCACAGAGCAGACAGGTTGGACATTAAACCTGTAACCCAGCAAGTAAGGTGTGGAACTCTAGCTGTGTGCTTCAGAAAATGAAGGGCAGAGCTGGACCCTGCTGAGATTTGAACTTGTGGCTCAAGGGAGTTGGGTTATTTCAGAGCTGAGGCATCCAAGCCACTGGCTGCTCGAGGAAATGGCTCAGACCCTCGCAATCTGGTTAGACCGACCACCTTTGGCTCAAAAAGAAAGCGTTCCCCCTTCTGCGTGTATACGTGGGCACCCAATACTCCTGGGGGAAGAGCGGAAGTTCACTGCTCATTAATTTCCTTATTTCACAAGATCTTGATTTCAGCCTCAGTGTAAGGAACTTAAAGACTACTGAAACACAGAGCTTCGTGTTCTAGTAATACCAGTTGTGGCCCGATCACACAAATGGCTTCATTCAGCATAAATCAATCCCACTTCAAAGAACTATTTTAGTGGAATTTATCCTTGTAAATTAATAAGATTTAGTTAATAAAATCCATTCTGCTCTTGGTCTCTCCCTTGCAGTTTAAAGGCACACTTAAGCTAACAATCATGCCTGTAAACAAGTTTCTTTACCTGCATTGCTATCATGGTAGGTTATTAACTGAAAGACTTCTAAAAATCCATATCACCGAATGCTATTTATGCTCCCCCCGCCCCCCTTTGTCTCAAGTTAGACGGTAAAAGTTAAGTCAGTCCTTTGTTTATAGTCAATTTTACTGTCAGCTTCTTAATACCAGGCAAAGGCCAGCAGAAGAGGTGCATTTTTCCAAAGATATTGATCTCAGAGTTAAGAGATTTAGAAAGCCAAGAAGAAAATAAGGATCTAAGTGCAATAAATCCTGATGGTTCTTCAAAGTACAAATATATATTGCTACCTACATTCTGAATGTCCACATCAGAGACATGGTCTGGAAAATAAAGCTCTTGTTGATCCAGTCAGAAGACAGGCTATTGCATGGGAGATCTAACCAGTTCACGATGTTTCAGACCCCTGTATCGTTCACAGCAGAGATGGTAAAGAGAAGGAAGTTTCTGATTTAGTCATAAGCCAGCATGTGTCTTGTAACAATCCCTTGTCCCCAGAGTGTCATTTACTTTATCTGATGAACAAGATAGCAGTACGTTTTTCCATCCACATCTGAGGCCTGGGTTGGCCGGATTTCATGACAACTGTGCAAGGCTCTTTGATGCTGGGGAAGCCACTTCTCTGTACCTCGATTGTGCTAGTTGTAAAATGGGGTTAATGACTGTGATGGTGTGCTCCCCACACTGGCCCTGAGAGAGCTGAATTAGGCCGAGTGGGCCCAATCAGCCAAATAAGCAGCAGAGGAGAGGAGGCCGCTAATTGGAAGCGAGCTCATCTTTGAGGAACAGGCAGGGTTTACATAAAGCCAAGAGATGGGCACCAGAGAGAAGGCTGCAGGGTGAAGAGTGAGTCACTCTCCCTGAGGGAAGGGGGGAGAGGAATCTGAGACCTAGCAGACCCTGGGAGTCTGACTAGAATGAGTGGAAGCAGGGTAGGAAGTAGCCCAGGAGTGAGAGCAGAAAGGTTCGGGAAGCTGCAGACCTGGACTGCTTGCTACAGGGCCCTGGCCTGGAACCCGGAGCAGAAGGTGGGCGTAGGTTCCTTGCCACCCGCTGCCAAGTGGTACTGCTTGGAACAGCGAACTAGCAGACTGTCTGGGTCACTGCAGGAGTGACATAGAATCATAGAATATCAGGGTTGGAAGGGACCCCAGAAGGTCATCTAGTCCAACCCCCTGCTCAAAGCAGGACCAATTCCCAGTTAAATCATCCCAGAGTCAGTGCGGCGGGCATGGGATTGCCTAACGCCACTTGGGCAGAAAGGCTTTGAAGGTTTCTACCCCAGAAGGCCAAGCCACTTAGTGACCTGGCTGGAGGGCCGCGTCATGAAGAGGAGACAGCAGCTCTCGGAACTAGAGAAGGGCTGCAGAGAGAGAGACAGGGAGCAGCCACAGCACAGTGCGTGGGCCTGGTGCAGCAAATCCTCCGAACTGCCAGGAGGTGGCGTCGTCGAGTGGTGAATGGAGCACCCTGTCAAAATGACACTCGCCTTTGAGAGGTGCTTTGAGATCTACAGCTGAAAAGCCCTGTTAATACTCTGATTTACATAATGGGCTCTTAGGGGAGCACTGTTACCCGTATCATGTTGACCAAAGTTGACTGCAGCCTGTTGAAATGTGAACTAAGAAAAAATGCAAAACAAAGACAGACTGTGCTGGAAGGAATGTACAATACCAGACCCAGCCAGAGACAGACAGCAAAGTTAGCCGCTGGCCTAAAAATTAGCAGTTGCCTCAATGATTGTGATCTGGTTCCATTTGCTTTGTGCAAAGAGAAGATGGCACCAAGCAGCAATACGTGTACCTGGAACGTCCAACAGGCCAAATTTCCAAAGCTTAAAGCAGCTGTCGACAATTCCCTGGGAACATTGAAGTGGGAAACCTAGGAACTGTTCGAGGATATCCTACTGGATGCCAAGAAGCCACGTGGGGAAGTCTCCTGACTGTAGGCATGCCCTCTCACAGCTGGGGGTACTGTAGCAGCTCTCCTCCGGCGCCCCTGCCGACAGCCGTTGTGGCCCTGCCTCACCCTGTGACTGGGACCTCTGGCCAGGTGACCTTTAGTCTTACCCCTTCTGAGAAAACTGAGTCCACACCAAAAGCTCCTTCCCAGCAATTACTTCCCTTTCCCTCAGCCCCTCCATTACCCCTGACTCCCCCAAGCCTTTGAACCGCTTCTGAGTGGTGCTGGAAATACAGTTCTGTATTGTAGTTTAAATGAATTATTACTCAGAGTATTGTATTAATATGCCTAGTAAGGAATCTATTTGTCAAAAAGCATTTCCTGAATCTTTTTTGTTGTCTGTATTGTTACAGACATACTTGCTGACAGGTATTCTGAAATAAATGATCAAAAATAATTGAAACTGGTTTGATTATATGGTGTTATTCTGACAAATTTTAAAATATTGTGTGCAGAATTTTTAATTTTTTGGTTTAGAATTCCCCCAGGAGTAGTTATTTGTGTTGTCTGTCACAGAGCAGGACCCCACCATGCTTGGTGCTGTACAGACACAGAACAAAAAGACTCTCCCCCAAAGTGCTTAAAATCTAAGTATAAAACAAGAAATAATAGATGGATACAGAAAGGGGGAGCACAAGAAAACACTGACACAATACTGGTCCTCATGATGGGCTGTGATCTCACCAAACCAGCTGCTTAACTATTCTCAAATTTTCTGTAAACATCACAGCAAAGGAGTTTTAAGCCGGGATTTGAAAGAGGATAATGAGGTAGCTTTGTGGATGTTTACGTGGCGCTCCTCCCAGACATGAGGGGCAACGTGGGCAAAAGCATGAAGGTGCTTGTTAAACACCTATACCAGTATAAAAGTGCTTATCCCAATACAGCTTATGACAGTTTGAGGAATCAACATAAACTATACTGGTATAAGCATTTTGATACCGATCATACCCCTAACCACATAGCTATGCCAGTAAAATTTAGTTACATCTTTCTTTAAACAAGCAAAGAGAAGCAAACCCTTCCAAGGCAGGTTGCATGGTCCAGGGCTGAGCACCTATGGAAACCCAAGTGTAGCCCAAGCTGTAGATTTCTGTGAAGGGAGGTTTTACACAATCTAACAGAAGTAGTACTCTCTTCCCCCTACAGGACCATGAACCAAAACAGCAGCGGTAAAACCAACCAACCGTTCTAAGCAGAGAGTGAAAGGCAAAAATGCAGCAATGCCAATGAATAGTAAATGAGATTTGCAACCAGATTAATAATCACAGCATTTACTGCTAACAAAGCTAGGCAGTTTTAGGTGCAAGATTCTCGTCTCGTCCCTTGTCTTACACGTGCTGTTTGACTAAGACATGCGAAGCGTCAACACTACCTGCTTTCTTTTCTGTTACACCAACATTCTGCGCTTCAGACCACTTTACGACTATTTCCCTGCAGACATCTGGCAACAGATCTTCTTCCTAGTAAGAAAAACAGAGATGTTCAGTTTCTGCACTGAAAGTCAGTCTGCTTTAAAATCAGCATGAATAAAAGACTCCTAAAGAATAAGAACAGCAAGAGCCAAGCCTGAAGTAGAGATTTAAGTGTAGCATGAAGAGTTAATAGGCTATAAGCAGTTCTTAAATTCTTTGTTGAACTGGGGATCACACACATACTTTTGGCCAACACGGAGAAGTTTTCCAAGGCCCTTACGTAGTTTAAATATCTATGACAGCCTTCAGGTGTACATTCACGTAATCCCCACACAAATATCAGCACAAAGGTTTTGATCACTTGGCAGCATTTCAGGAGATGCTGTACTGGTATTTTTCTTTCTTTAGCGCTGGCAAGGTGTGCTGGGTTCATAGCCCTAGCGAGTGGTACCCTCTGGCTGCAGTGCAGAGCGGGCACAAGACGGGCAGCAGCAAGGCAGAAGTCTCCCACCAACAGGCAGCCTGAGCGCTGTTCTGAAAGGGAGCCCCTAAAGGAGCGTCACAGTGACTTTTTGCTTAAAACATCCCACTACTGTTTCCGCCACTTCAGCTCCCCTGGTGGCAGCATTAGCGTTGGCACCAGATGCGCTGTGTGGCATAACCCAGCTGAGAGCTGCTTCCCATGGTGAGCGGCTCACGGCAGGGGGCTGGAGGGGCTATGCCCTGATTCCACCCCCTTCCCCAAGGTCCCTGGAGCAGAGAGGCACTGCGGCTCCGCTTTTCCCTCTCCCCCTCCGTAGCAAGGGCTGTCAGCTAATGGGCCGCAGGGAAGGAGAGGCGGAGGGGCAGGAACCCCGCACACTGGGGGAAGAGGTGGGGGGAGGGGGAAGATTGCCTGCCCTGCAAGGAGAGCGCAGTGGGCGGGGGGCAGAAAAGAGCGGGCCGGGCCAGGCAGGATTTTTAGTGGCACGCTGCTGTCTGCCCAGGTCCAGCAGGCAGAGCGTGCCATTAAAAATTGGCTCGCATGCCATGTTTGGCACGCTTGCCATAGGTTTGCTGACCTCTGGTCTACAGGAATCTCATCTGGCAGCTCACCAGACTCACTGGCTAACGACCCTGAAGTTCAGAAACAGATATATTCATCAGTCAAATAGTTAGATCTTGAGTGTTTCTCAGTGGACAGATGATCATGACAGACCATATGTTTTTCTTATGTAGTTTTAAGGGCCTATTACAATACAATGTTATTTGACTCAGAATCAAAGGCAATTTAACCCTATATAAGCTGGTAAATGAGCAGAATTGCAAAACCTAGAGCATCCAGCCTTATAAACAGACAACTGCATGGAGCCTCGGAAAAAACAAAGAGGTCAATCAGGACTAAGCTCTTCCCATGGGACAAAGCAAACCAGCCACAGGAAGAGAGTATCAGGGGAGCGGGAAGGAAAGTCCCAGGGTATATCCAGAGAGGGCAACGTCAGGGAGATAATAACAAGACACAGAATAGCCACATGGGTCCCAGGATGTAACCCTACCAGGGGGTTTGAAAAGACACGAGTCAGGGTTTAACAGACAGAGGACCAGAGCCCAGAGACAGAAGTACAAGAAAAAGGATGGTGGGGATGGGGATTAATAATCATCAAGAGAATGGACCCCAGGACTGGGGTACGGTATCAACACAAGTGAGGCAATTCAGAGGTCACGTGGGGATGGGGGCTGGGGGTTAACATCCCCCGCGGTCTCAAGCCCTGAGGGGGTCAGATCCAGGGAGGAACTAACACGCAGAAGACACTGGGCGGGGGGGGGGGGGGTGAGCTGCCCCCCGGTTCCAGCCCCCCCCAGTGGTCGGGGGGGAATAAGTCCTCCCAGCCCCCGGCCCCCATCGCTCCCAGCCCCCGGCGGTCGGGGAAGGACCCGGCCTCGCCGCCTCCTTACCAGGCAGGCGGCCAGGACCCCGCGCAGCGCGTCCAGCCGCTCCTCGTCGCTCTCCTCCTCCCGGAGCAGCCCCTGGATGTAGGTGGCGTAGACAGCCCGGTCCAGCCCCAGCGCGTCCAGCCGCCCCGCCAGCCACGGCTCGAAGCCGCCCGGCCCGGCCGCCGCCTCCCCGCCGCTGGGCGCCGCCATCTTGGAGCGGGCGGGTCGAAGGCGCCACACGCGGGCCGCCGAGGGGCTCTCTCTGCCCATGCGCAGGGGCTCGGGCATGCGCAGCCTTGGGCACAGGAGGCTCACGGGAGCTTTAGCACCCCCCCCACCCTCGCCCAGACTACGGCAGCCGCTTGGGCCAAACTGCTGGTGTCCCCGCGCCTGGAGCCCGACCTGCCCGGCACAGGGGCAGACACACGGCTGCCGGGGGGGGGGGCACGGACAGACACACGGCTGCCAGGGGGGGGCACGGACAGACACACGGCTGCCGGGGGGGGGGCACGGACAGACACACGGCTGCCAGGGGGGGGCACGGACAGACACACGGCTGCCGGGGGGGGGGGCACGGACAGACACACGGCTGCCGGGGGGGGGCACGGACAGACACACGGCTGCCGGGGGGGGGCACGGACAGACACGGCTGCCGGGGGGGGGCACGGACAGACACACGGCTGCCGGGGGGGGCACGGACAGACACACGGCTGCCGGGGGGGCACGGACAGACACACGGCTGCCGGGGGGGGGCACGGACAGACACACGGCTGCCGGGGGGGGGGGCACGGACAGACACACGGCTGCCGGGGGGGGGGCACGGACAGACACACGGCTGCCGGGGGGGGGGGCACGGACAGACACACGGCTGCCGGGGGGGGCACGGACAGACACACGGCTGGCTCGCTAGAGGGCTGCCTGGGCGGGGATGGACAGAGGGACAGACACACGGCTGGCTCGCTAGACAGCTGGCTGGACGGACAATGTCAAGGCTAATTCCCCACTCTGGCACTTCCGAGTGCAGAAGGTGGGGCCCGCAAGGATTCTAAAAATTAATACTGGCCACTCCAGGCTTGTATTAAACTCCCAAGGTTACAGGTTTTCTCTGACCTTGGATGGGTAGATGCTGCCACCACCCAAGTGCAAAACCCCCATTGAAGGAAGGGGCACTTGGGAATTCCTTCCTGTGGGAAGAACAGGAGGACTTGTGGCACCTTAGAGACTAACCAATTTATTTGAGCATAAGCTTTCGTGAGCTACAGCTCACTTAATCGGATGCATACTGTGGAAAGTGTAGAAGATCTTTTATACACACAAAGCATGAAAAAATACCTCCCCCCACCCCACCCACCTGCTGGCAATAGCCTATCTAAAGTGATCACTCTCCTTACAATGTGTATGATAATCAAGGTGGGCCATTTTCAGCACAAATCCAGGGTTTAACAAGAACGTCTGGGGGGGGGGGGGGGGGGGAGGTTAGGAAAAAACAAGGGAAAATGGGTTACCTTGCATAATGACTTAGCCACTCCCAGTCTCTATTCAAGCCTAAGTTAATTGTATCCAATTTGCAAACGAATTCCCATTCAACAGTTTCTCGCTGGAGTCTGGATTTGAATTTTTTTTGTTGAAGAATTGCAACTTTCATGTCTGTAATCGCGTGACCAGAGAGATTGAAGTGTTCTCCGACTGGTTTATGAATGTTATAATTCTTGACATCTGATTTGTGTCCATTTATTCTTTTACGTAGAGACTGTCCAGTTTGACCAATGTACATGGCAGAGGGGCATTGCTGGCACATGATGGCATATATCGCATTGGTGGATGTGCAGGTGAACGAGCCTCTGATAGTGTGGCTGATGTTATTAGGCCCTGTCATGGTGTCCCCTGAATAGATATTTGGGCACAGTTGGCAACGGGCTTTGTTGCAAGGATAGGTTCCTGGGTTAGTGGTTCTGTTGTGTGGTGTGTGGTTGCTGGTGAGTATTTGCTTCAGGTTGGGGGGCTGTCTGTAGGCAAGGACTGGCCTGTCTCCCAGGATTTGTGAGAGTGTTGGGTCATCCTTCAGGATAGGTTGTAGATCCTTAATAATGTGTTCTTGTTAAACCCTGGATTTGTGCTGGAAATGGCCCACCTTGATTATCATACACATTGTAAGGAGAGTGATCACTTTAGATAAGCTATTACCAGCAGGAGAGTGGGTTTGTGGGGGGGGGGGGTGAGAAAACCTGGATTTGTGCTGGAAATGGCCCAACTTGATTATCATACACATTGTAAGGAGAGAGATCGCTTTAGATAAGCTATTACCAGCAGGAGAGTGGGGTGGGGGGAGGTATTTTGTCATGCTTTGTGTGTATAAAAGATCTTCTACACTTTCCACAGTATGCATCCGATGAAGTGAGCTGTAGCTCACGAAAGCTTATGCTCAAATAAATTGGTTAGTCTCTAAGGTGCCACAAGTACTCCTTTTCTTTTTGCGAATACAGACTAACACAGCTGTTACTCTGAAACCTTCCTGTGGGGTACCCCCAAGCCCTTTCACCCCCCATCCATGGAGGAGCTGAGAAAGAAAACAAAGGAAATCAGCTGTTGCCACCAGCTAATTAAAGAACCTGTGCACAAACCTCTTAGGACACAAAATCCAATCCTGTTCTTTAAAAAAATATAAATTTAATTAAAAACAAAAAGAAAGTAAATACATTTGAAAACTCAAGCTATTGCTAGATTTAAAAAACCCACTTACAAGAATTAAGCATCAAGAATAACCTTCTTGAGATCCAGCTTAAAGATTACAAACAAAACAAAAGCATTTGGGGGTTAGCACAGAGGAGTCCACAAGTCATAAAGAAATAAAAAGAAATAAACCTAATCACGTCTTCCTAGACATTTCCTGGTCTACTTACATATCTGAGAGGTTCAAGTGAGTAGTTTCTAGGTATGATTCAGATGATTTTTCATATCTGGTCCCAAGCTTCTTACAGCATAGTTCCAGCCCTGTCGCTGCTTCTCCCCGAGAACAACAGACAGACAAAAGGGGAGTCTTGTTTCAATTTTAAAAAGTTCTAGCCTTCCCATTGGCTCTTTTGGCCAGGTGCTCACTCACTCCCTTTTACCCATGCATAGCAGTGACCTTTAACCCTTTACAGGTAAAGCAAGTAGAGAACAGCTACTGGGGGGGAGGGATAGCTCAGTGGTTTGAGCATTGGCTTGCTAAACCCAGGGTTGTGAGTTCAATCCTTGAGGGGGGCATTTAGGGATCAGGGCAAAAATTGGGGATTGGTCCTGCTTTGAGCAGGGGGTTGGACTAGATGACCTCCTGAGGTCCCTTCCAACCCTGATATTCTATGATACTAAGAGGGATTTTATAGCTAACTGGCTGGCTGGGTCCATAAAAGGGAGGTACCACCCCCCCTTCGTTTATCACAGATGGACAGACACACAGCTGGGTAGCTAGATGGTTGGCTGGACAGACAGATGGCTGGGTAGATGGCTGGCTGGACAAATAGATACTTGGCTGGGTAGCTAGACAGATGGACAGACATATGACTGGCTGGACAGCTGGGTGGATGTGTAGTGTTGCGGAGCCATGTCGTTCCCAGGATGTTAGAGACATTAGCTTGGTGAGAGAGACGAGCTTTAGGCCTGGTCTACACTACGAGTTTATGTTGGATTTAGCAGCGTTAAATCAAATTAACCCTGCACCGGTCCACAAAACGAAGCCATTTTTTTCAACATAAAGGGCTCTTAAAACCAATTTCTGTACTCCTCCCCAATGAAGGGATTAGCGCTGAAATCGACATCGCCGTTTCGAATTAGTGTTAGTGTGGATGCAATTCAAAGGTATTGGCCTCCAGGAGCTATCCCACAGTGCACCATTGTGACTGCTCTGGACAGCACTCTGAACTCGGATGCACTGGCCAGGTAGACAGGAAAAGCCACGGGAACTTTTGAATCTCATTTCCTGTTTGGCCAGGCGAGCTCATCAGCACAGGTGACCATGCAGTCCCAGAATCGAAAAAGAGCTCCAGCATGGACCGAACGGGAGGTACCGGATCTGGTCGCTGTATGGGGAGACGAATCCGTGCTACCAGAACTACGTTCCAAAAGACGAAATGCCAAAACATTTCAAAAAATCTCCGAGGCCATGAGGGACAGAGGCTACAGCAGGGACGCAACACAGTGCCACGTGAAACTTAAGGAGCTCAGACAAGCGTACCAGAAAACCAAAGAATCAAACGGACGCTCCGGGACAGAGCCCCAGACTTGCCGCTTCTACGCTGAGCTGCATGCAACTCTAGGGGGGGGCCGCCACCACTACCCCACCCCTGTCCGTGGACTCCGATGATGGGGTACTCTCTGCCATGGCTGAGGATTTTGTGGACAGGGAAGATGACGAGGAGGAGGACGAGCCTGAGGAGAGCACACAGCACACCGTTCTACCTGACAGCCAGGATCTTTTTATCACCCTGACTGAAATACCCTCCCAACCCAACGAAGCCAGAGAAGGGACCTCTGGTGAGTGTACCTTTTTAAATATAATACACGTTATAAAAGCACGCATTTTTAAATGATTAAGTAGCCCTGATGACTTGGGATGTATTCATGGCCAGTACAGCTACTGGAAAAGTCTGTTAACGTGTCTGGGGATGGAGCAGAAATCCTCCAGGGATATCTCCATGAAGCTCTCCTGGAGGTACTCTAAAAGCCTTTGCAGAAGGTTTCTGGGGAGAGCAGCCTTATTCCGTCCTCCATGGTAGGACACTTTACCACGCCATGCTAGTAGCAAGTAATCTGGTATCATTGCATGACAAAGCCTGGCAGCGTATGGTCCCGGTGTTTGCTGGCATTCAAGCAACATCTGTTCTTCATCTCTCTGTATTATCCTCAGGAGAGTGATATCGTTCATGGTAACATGGCTAAAATAGGGGAATTTAATTAAGGGGACATACAGAGGTGGCCGTCCTACTGGACTGTTTGCCTGTGGCTGAAAAGAAATCCTCCCCGCAGTTAGCCACGCGGTGGGGGGGCATTGACACTGAGCTGTTCGTGTTTGGCTAGCAGGGATCTTCCCTGATACCAGCCACGCAGTGGGGTGAGGGGTAAAGCAATCATCCCAGATAATTGGATGGAGGGGGGATTAGTTTGGTTTCTGCTGCTGCACGTTAACAGGAAAACCACAGCACTAAATGGCCAACTCAATGGGCTTTGCTTAGTATGGGAGACGAGGGGGCTGCTGTTATGAAGGTTGCAGAAGCCGAAAGACTATGGCTTACCATGACCGCCTGCAAGCCGAATTCTGTTGCCCAGCACTGCA